TTGAGTACTGGAACGGCCGTTCTCGACCTGATGGTTTTTCATGTAGCAGAACCTCCAGAACCAGGAGAAGCAGAAAGTGTGTCGGCGGACCCAAATAGATCAAAGAAGGCACGGCGTGCTTGCGCTGAGAAGCAGAGGTCCGCCTGGTGGCCCAACCACGACAGAGATTGCAACACACATGCCTGACCAAGCCATGTAGGTACCAACAAAAGCGGAAAACTTACTTGTACTCAAGTCGGCCAATGGAACCACCCATCGCCAGAATCCATAGTCTGTCATCAAAATATGGACAGTCGCCATCACGCTGCTGCAGGGACCCGCAGCATGTGAATATGCGCGGTATTACAGTAGTCAGTAGTGGTTCTTGTACAGCTAGACATGTACTGGCGGCCAGCAGCTGCATGATTACTGCAGCATTTTCGTTTGATTTGCCACCAGAAGTGCTTGAACGAGGCCAGCAGACCATCCAAGCAGCTGGCGACGCCGCGTGGAAGGTGTTCTGTACGCACTTGGAATCTTGCCATGGCAGTACCTTCTGTCCACAATCTCAGAACAGCGGAGCAACTAAGGGCAGAAAGGATGACCAGGCTAACTCTGCCGGTTGTTTCTCGCTTTCTTCCTGCAATTTTTCCGACCCTTGCCGAGTGACACCATGCACCGTGCCCGTGTGCGAGTGGCTCAACGGACACGGCATAGCTGTTGGCAAGCAAGAGGCTGACTTGCTGCGTGCTGGTGCAGCATCGACATCTGGCAAGGAGCAGCCACAAGAGCTGGTGCCAAGCACAAGCTTTTCAGGATACCTACTGTTGATAGCGGGACCCTGCAGTTCTTTGTACAGTGCAGAACCTACCCACTCCACTCGGAGACTGTTAGGACTCCTGGAGGGAGAATGTACGAATTCGTGAGTGCACAAACCTGGGCACTCGGCACGAAGACTTCCAAGATGTCTTTCGTGATTATTACGCCTCCAGTCCTGGGAATCTTCAGCATCATGGACACATCTTCGGGAGTTTGAGGCGTTTTGCGGCTCCATTTTGCTCGAAGATTCCTGGTAATGACTATGACTCTGAAAGTATAGCCAGTCATGACGTCCAGCTGCCCTGAGCTGATGCTGTAAATACATCTGCAGAAGCCAACAGACCGCTGTCCTGGAGTTGTCTTTGAAGGCATGTTCTGCCAATCAGAACAGTCCTGGCTCATCGTAGTGCTGCGCCATGAGCCAAGGCCTTCCCAAACCCGGCAAAATCATAATGTGGGTGTACCTTCATGGAGACATTTCAGAGAGGTTCGCAATCATGGAGAGCTTTTGGCTACGGAAGGCCTGGAGCATGCCCGAAAAAGAGCCTTGTGCCAAGAACTCACGAAGCATACAATTTCAGCAGGTCACGGGCTGCCGAGTCGCGACAAGGTGCCTTTGCTCCAAACGTTCCTGTGGCTGCCATTTAGCAGATGCGGATTTTTTGAGGCGGTGATTGATGCAGCATCGCCGTCATCCCCGACCCACTGCAGAAGGACGCTCAGAGATCTGACAGTGTTCGAGTACCATGTCGTGCTGATTCCTCATACTCCGAGATCCCTTCGGCAACCACGTCTGGCCTGGTCATGTGCCTACAAAAGTGTGAGGAAGCAATTGTGCATCTATAAGACATACTCGAACTGAGTACATTTTCCGCAGCACTCTTTCGCAAGCGAAGTGAACTGATGTGTTGGGTCCAGAAGCAGGACGCCTGAAGCAGATGTCGGAAGCTGCTGCAGCGTGAGGTGCCGCTGGATGACGTGCTTGCGCCTGTGCGGCATGTGCGCGGAAACACGTGGATGGCGGAAGTGTGGGAAAAGGAGCGAGTGTTTTTCCTGAAGTGCATGTCGTTGGCATCAATGAGATTGACGGTTCTGGTTCGTGGAGCAGCCATGTCTGCTGGTGTGTGCATTCGTTCCTGCTCAAGTGGAGAGCAAGTGGGAGGTAGCCGTACTGGAGTCCCACGACGCCCGGAGGATCAGAGGCCACTCCTGATCCTGAGCCTGTTGAGCATGATGTCTTTCCATGAGCATGTCTCAGCCTGCTTGTGAGGCAAGCGCTTTCCCAGGCCTTTAACACAGGGGCATGGGGTGCCTGTGCTGCTGCTGCTCCTCGCCCAAGCATGACGAAGATGCTTGGACTTTTCTCGGAAGTAACCGGCTTATCATTGCAACATCGGCCCAGGAAATAGAGAGCAAAGCCGGAATCATGGACGCCGGTGAAGTTACTGGTGGTAATTCGCATATTTCCAGGTTCTCAAGGTTTGCATACGAACTCTCAAGAGGTAAGGGTCAGTTGAAACCCACACCCCGTTCAACCCTTGCGCATGTCAATCACGTGCATCTGGCAGACCTAAGCAGGTACGCTGCCTTCACAAGTCAGTTAGAGCCAGACATCAACATAAGATAGGTGGAAGCCCCCAAGTCAGGTACATGCAAGACTATTGTCTGGAATCTCACTCGCTCAGCCCAAGCAGATTGCTCGGGAATGTTTGACAGATGTCCCTCACGATATTATTAGCATTACTGTTATCATGAAAATAGTATTTTACTACTACGACGCACGCTCGGATATCTGACGGTGGGGTTTTTGAG